TATTTTTTATTATATTGACCTTTCATCTGTGTCTGTCTAACCATACAGAAGTTACAATGACACGGCTCACATACACTCATGCACAGTGCACTGATTGTTTTAAAGCTAAGTACACAAATTTTTGTTTTGAGGTTCTTATGTTTTCTGGTAGTAACCATTCTGTTTTTTTTTTTACTTATAAACCCATTTTCTCCATTTTTATTATGCATAGTAATGTGATGTATCACTTTTTAAGGGGTTTGGTTGTACTACGTTGAATTGTGATTATTACAGGCTGCCCTATTGTTGAAAAGTCAGGTTCAAGCTATAGAAGAGGAAGAATTTCACCAGCCAGTAACTCCAGACACTGATTTTGTGGAACTGTTTCCTGAATCCTTCCCTCTAGAAAGGTGACTAATCTTCACCTATTTTTAGTGTTTTAGAGCTTGCTTGGTTGATTGTTTTTCTATTTATGTGCTTAATGTCTGAATGTAATAAATGTATATCATTAAGTTACATAAATTCTCTCCTAAACTGAATTAAAACTTTCTTTAAACAGTTACGTATTTACAAATATGTGTATAATATTAGATTATGTGAGGTTTCTCCAAAATTAGACATAAATACCCATATGTATTTGCAAATGCTATGTTACCAGGTTTTGTAACTTCCCATAAGATTTTCTATCATATCTATAGTTAGTTTAACTTGTAAGTATTAGTCATGCTGTGCATCAGTTGACACCAGCATTTATTTTTATATTAGTGGTCAAGAATTGGAAGAAAAGGAGGAGTCTGGTTTTTTGGCAGGACTCAAGATTCCCACCCCCTGGGCCACTGGCAGAACAGTAGAGTCTGTTCATCCACTCAGGGATAATTATAAGTTCCGAGAGACCGTTCACATTTCTGGTGCACGATGTCTTTACCTGCGCTTTGACCCTCGTTGTTCCTCACAGTATGATTATGACAAGGTAAGATATCCTGAAATTGACAAAGTCAAACAATTACTATAAGTTATATCTTTCTTTCCTGAATTTAAAGTACAAGTATGTTTCTCCACTTTAAACATGATTATGAGTTTCATTTATGTAATGTTTATAAATATTTTATTCTTATTTGCCCTAGATTGTTTGATCAATTGAATAATAAAAAAAATAAAAGAAAGAAAATGATAATTTTTAGATGATCAAAATACCACCCACATAATGTCCTTTGGCCAGACATAGAAAATTAATCAAAATATTATGAGTGAATTTAAACAAAAAAGTTTTATATATATAATATAAATGCATGTTGAATAAAAATGCTAGTGTATCTCCCTAAATAACCTCTCCTTCTTTCTAGCTGTCAATATATGCTGGTCCTAATAGCAATTCTACCAAAGTAGCTGAGTATGGTGGTAATACCCTTGGGTATGGTAGCCGTAGTGTGCTAGGAAATGGTTGGCCTACTGACTTGGTCAAGGTAGAATCTGATTTTTTTTCTCCAAAAATCTGAGATTGTAATTTGTGATGGGATATTACGAGTTGTTTTATTTATTTTTTTAAGATGGACTAGAATTTAGATTAAATTTGAATACTTATATACCAACTTTATTTCTCTTGTGGGACTTTGATCTAAAATATCTTGCTATTAAGGAACTATATTACTGTTAAAATTTTAACACCAAAGATAATATCTACCATTAAAGCAAGATTTTGTGGTGAACAATACTATGTTATTGACCATAAGACTTGAGTGAAAATTTTAAGTTTACTCAACAATTCATTTTAGTTTCCTCAAGACAAGTTGTATTGAGCATTCCAAATAAAGCTGTCAAACAAAATGTTGAGTAAATTGTATATTTTCGTTTAAAGTCTTATTGTTATTGTCTTACTGTTTACCACATCAACTACACATCAGTCAGCACTATACTAGTTGTGGAAGAGTTTTGTTGCATATTATATACAAATACAGTTCTTTATGATATCAATCAAAGAGCAAGACTTGTCAATGGTGAATGTTTTATGTTGTAACTAATCATTCCTTATCTAGTGATAATTTTATAAATGAACAACCTAAAAGAGCTTCTGTATTTTCTTTGATTTAATCTTTCAGTTTTCACATTTATTAATAATGCTAACATGATCTTTGTCAGTTGTTCTCATATTCTCTTTGGGAGTGCGTGCATAGGATTTGCTTATGCTTCATGTGATGCTGATCCTCTAAAGATTTCAAAGTCTGGTTCATATTATAAAATGAAATGTTTCTAAGACCAAACTCAAGTAATTAACTTAAATGAATAACTGATAATTATCTTATCTTTAGGTAGATGGAGACACTGTTATGTTTTCTTTTGAAATGCGAAGTGGACGTGAGCATACCACCCCAGACTCAGCAATGTGGGGATTTTTAGTTACAGTTCGGGCTCAGGTAAGTGCTCCCTGTAATTATTCAGTTTCTGTATCTCATATATGTCTTCATGAAATGCCAGATATACTTCTGTTTGTCATAGTTCTAAAGACAGTTCATATAGAAGGTATACCTGTGTATTGTTTCAGTTTAAGTATTCAGGTATACCTTTTGTATGAACTGTCTTTAAATGTATCTCTTCAGTTTACATACTCAGGTATACCTTCTGTATAAATTGTCTATAGATGTATTGTTTCAATTTAAATATTCAGGTATACCCTCTGTATGAATTGTCTTTAGATGTATTGTTTCAACTTAAATATTCAGGTATACCCTTTATATGAATTGTCTTTAGATGTATTGCTTCAGTATACCATCTGTATGAACTGTCTTTAGATATATCGCTTCAGTTTATGTACTCACGTATACCTTCTGTATGAACTCTCTTTAAATGTCTTGTTTCAGTTTACATACTCAGGTATACCTTCTGCAAGAACTTTCTTTAGATGTATTGTTTCAGTTTACATATTCGGGTATGTCTTCTGTATGAAATATCTTTTAGATTGTTTCAGTTTACATACTCTCTGTATGAACTACATTTGGTTTTATATACATCATTTCTATTCATATTTATTATTAATTTATTTTATTCCTTGTTTATTGTGCTTTCTAAGTTACTTTAGGTTGCCTTAGAGTAAATCATTAGTTGTATGTTTACTAAAAAATCTAGATGCACATGATAAAATTCCTTAGATAGGTAATTTGATTTAGATGTCAAATATCTTACCTAATCTTTCAGAATTTTTTTGTAATCCATGAGATATTTTAACATGAACTGTTTTATGAATGATTCTTTATTTTTATCAATGCAAACTACACAAGTTAAATACATTTTTGTGTTTGTTAGTGAAACATTTGAACAAATGATTTAATCAGTTGAATAGGTATTGTAGCTATTATTTACTTCTTAAAGGCTTTATTTATGGAATATTTGTGGAATATAGCATAGAAATTATTATTGAATATTTGTAAGGTTGAGCCACAAAGTAAAAATTGAGTTAACTAACTCTTAGAAATTTGTTTTAGGAGTCAGCCGAGGAAGTAACAGGAGGTCTTCCCTTTTTGGCAGATCTTGCCTTGGGTCTTTCTGTGGTAGCCTGTACCATGTTGCAGCTTCTCTATCAGGGAGAGCCATTATCTGCTGAGGATGAAGAATGTAAACATTTGCTTCAATCAGTAGTTCTACAGAGGTTTGAAACAATGTTATATTATAGTGTAATGTGTTATTTTACTGGTTAGAGCAATGCTAGGATATTCTAGTGCAAAATGTTGTTTTATTGGTTCTAGTAATACTGGCATGTTTTGGTATAATGTGTTGTTTTATTGGTTTTAGTAATATTGGTATATTTATATTCTGGTATAATGTGTTCTACTGGTTATGGTATTATTATTGTTATGATCTGGTTTAGTGTTGAACTAGTTATAATAATTGTTGTATATTCTGGTATAATGTATTGTTTTACTGCTTATATTAATACTGGTAAGTTCTAGTGTAATCTGTTGTTTTACTGGTTATATTAATATTTGTATATTCTGGTGTAGTGTTGTACTGGTTATAATAATACTGGTATGTTTTGGTATAACATGTTGTACTAGTTACAGCAATACTAGTATGACCTGGTTTAATATTTTACTGGTTATAGTAATACTATTATTTTCTGCAGTAATATACTGATTATTGTAACAGTGTTTTGATGTAATATTATAGTTGTGTTCTTGTGTATTGTTTTGTTTGGGTAACACTATTTTGGTGTTGTGTTTTGTACAGTTCATGTTTTGTATAGTTCTGTATACAGTTTTATATACTTTATTGTTCTTAACTCTTTCCACACAGGCTTGGTCAAATAAACCAAGTTTGTAACCATTTTGTACTTGTTACAGTTTCCATACTATAACTTTTAAAACATCTCCTTCGGCCCCAAGGTGCAGGACCATTATTTGGTCATGCTCTCATTCACTGTAGTCTCCTTCTTTTGACAGAGATCTGCCAAATTGTTCTAGGGCATGTTCCAAGGAGGTCAATAGACCTCTTTCTTCAAAAGAAAAAGGTGGTCACAAACGGAAGGGTTTTCTACCCAGTTCTCCTCCACCTTAATGAAAATGTCCACTTTGACACAGTGGAACTGTTAAGTTTTTGTTCTAATTTGGATTACATTAAGGTCTTGATTGATTCCTGCTGATACTGAGACCCACTGATATGTCAAATTTTGTCAGTTTTCTTTATACCGGAATGACAGATTGTGTAATGGACGAGTTAACACCTTCCACACTTGTATACATTTTACTATTAGGATGATGTTGCAGCGAGTGAAAAAGATGGTAATCTGATGGTGCCATATCTTAATGTGCTTAAGAATTTGATGAAATTGAATAACATCTCTTTTTTTCTTGTTGCCATATATTGAAGATATCATCTATGTATCTTAACAGATTTCTGGTTTCTTGGTGTGAATAAATTTGTTTCCAAATAGTTCTTCTTTTAGAATGGACATTTAGAGGGGAAAGGGGAATCCCATTGTTAATCCATTATTTTATTTGTAAAACTTGCCTTTGTGCATTCTTAAGTGCAAAACTCTATATCTTTATGGTTTGAATCAATATAATGGTACTGCTGCTATAAATTTAAGTAATAACAATTGTATTGGTAATTTCTTTTGTTTTGATAGTTAATAAAAAATGTAGAAAAAGAAAAATTAAAGAAAAAGGTAAAAATAGAACAAAATGGGTCAATTTTATAGGTTTTTGTATGGATTTAGATAGTAAGTTTTATATATTTGCTAACATTCATAGTTATTTCTACAAAAATGTATATCAGCTAAACAATTCGAAGTTAAATGTATTAGCAAAAAAAACTGTAATGGCATTTAATTTTCTAAATAATCATGCTAAACATTTAATTTCCAGTATTATAAAATTTAGGTTAAGGTAAATAATTTAAATGATGTAATTAAAGAATTACAAATAAGAAAATCATCATAAGTAATAATTAATTTCAAGCATAAAATTGTTCATGATTTTCAGATTTCTAAAATTTTGCATGTATTTTTCCTTAAAAATATTTAAAACTTATTATTAGTTTTAAACTTCAAGTTCCAATAGGACCACTTATATATATATAATTATATAAGGATTTTTTAAATAATTTGGATATAAGTAATGTATACAATATACCATGTGATTGCTATTCAAATTCGTTGGCAGATTATTTTTATAATAATATAATTTCTGGATATTTGAATATAATAAAAGAATTCTTTATGGAAAATCATGTAAAAAGGTCCTAAATACAGAACAGCTATAGAATGTAAAAAAGTAGACATTTTAAATTCTATAAAAAAACAAAGATGCAAAGATGATTGTATTCTAAAATTTAATTATTCAACACATTATCTTCCAAATTGATTTTTAGAATGCAAATATTATATGATTAATAGAACTAAAGATAAGTTAGCTTTTATTAATTCAAATAAATATCCAGTAGATTTAAAACTTTTTCAGTTTAAAACCAAAATCTGTAAAATACAGGAAAACTATGTTGTTGTGCCTATTAATAAAGCCAATTTTGGCTTTATTTGGAAACTTTCTTATTCACAAACTGTATCTAATGAGATAAATACTACACAAACTTTTAAATTAAAATAAGTCTAAAGAAGGTGTTATTAAGAATTTGTTGATAGCTGCAAAAAACTTGTTAAATCAAATTCACATTCAAAATTACTGTATCTATGTACAATACCTAAAGTACATGAATCTCCCATTAAATTTCATTTTACTTCTAGTTCAGTTTTATTAAGTAAATTACTGAATAAGTTATTTATTAAAATACAACAAAATATAAATAACAAACATAATTTCTGGATATTAGAAATAATGAACCTGTCTTAAAAACCCTAGAAAATACAAGTAAAACACAGTTAGCAGACACAATTCAAACACATGATTTTGCTACATTATTTACAACTGTACCATGTAATGATTTAATTTTGGTGATAAATTTATTAATAGATCAATTTATTAATCTGCTATAAAAGTAGACTATAAATCTTTTACTGCTAAAAATACTAAAAACCTATTCAGTTTTTGCTTATATAATAATTATATTCATTTTGATAGCACATTTATAAACAAACAGAAGGTATATCAGTAGGATCTAATTATTCAAATTGTGATGCTAATTTATATTATTATTATTATGAAAATGAAATTATTAATAATTTTACAAATCTAGAATTATTTTTTTCAACATATAGATATACAAATCCAGAATTATTTTTTTCATTATATATATATATATTTGTGATATAATTAAATAAGAATAATCCAGTAATAAGTAATATCAAATACTGAAACATATTATTTAAATTTAGATATTAAGTTAACTAATAATTACAGTAATATTAATATTTATGATAAAAGAAATTTTTCACATTTCAAATATATGGATTTTCCTCTTCAGACAGTAATGTACCAACAAATGCTGTGCAGAGTATTATACATTTACAGCCTCTTAGGTTAAAAT